GGGGACCCTGTATGAGTTATTTGTGAGAGTTATTTGACAGTGAGATTGTGTAAACGGGTGTAGAAACAAGTTACAGTCTCAGAATGCAGACAAATGGACACAAATATGACACTCTAGGCTCAGTTATAGTGAGATTTTCAGTCTTACAACAGTTACCATGCTTTCAGTTGGCTCTTTGTTCCAATTTAGAGTGAAGGAGTCAGACTAAGGAAACTTTCAATCAATTGTATTCCAACAGCTCAAAGCATGACATGAGTGTTTTATCTGCAGTAACTTTCTGTCTTGTCATATTGGCCATGGTTGGTCTAGTTAAAGGATGGTTTGACATCTGAAGCACAATTATTTTCTCATATCACCTCTGAAGGAATGCATTGATTGATTTTGAAAAGTACAGTTGTGCAGGGGCAGGTAACACTGAGTAAGTTTACTCAGTAGTTTTGTTGTGAATGAATTTCACACAGCTGTGCATTTCAAAGTGTTGGTATGAGTGTGTGTAAGAGAGGCACAGCATATGTGTTTGTAAGTATTCGTGGATATCAGTGTTAATGAAAGAAAGATTCTGTGTGTGCCCACAAGTACTTTATGTGTATACAGGTGCAGATACTGTATATGTATAAAGTGTAAATATATGTTCTGCAAGTATATATTATTTTGCATATAGACAAAATGCATAAATGTTTGTGTGTATTGGTATAATAGAGAGAGTTATCATCAGAGGCAGTGATCCATATAGTGAACAAGTGACAGAATCACTTGGTTGTGTGTCTGGATGTGTGTCTATTTGTGTGTACAGTACATAGTGTGGTCCCTCGGAGTAAAGTGTGAATTTACACCGCCATTTTAACATAATATGGATTTGTTTTAGAGAATGAAACAAATAGATGGAGGAAGTAAAAGATGAAGGGAAAGTGAGAAAGAACAAGAGAGAACAAACTGGCAGAGCACAAACACAGCTTGGAAGAAAATAGAGAAAGTGTGTGAAAGAGAGCACTAGTGGGCGAGACAGAGAAGTATGTAGAAACAGAGCCAGAGGGCATTAATAATCAGAAAGACTGATAAAAGAAAGAAAATTGAATTAAGAACAACAATGAAAAAGCCATGAGAATGGTCAGTGTGATATTTCTCTCTCTCTCTTTCTCTCTCACACACACACACACACACACACACACACACACACATCTCAAAAGCTTTAATTACATAAAATGTCCCTGCTCTTGTATAAAAAAAAAGATTTTTTTTTTTTTTTTACTTAAAAACACCTGCATACTATTACTTTTCACTGTTAGATCCCGTACATTTCTTCACTACTGTTTGTTCCCGTACATTTCTTCACTCAGCTGTGATGTGTGGAAAACTTCAGCAAATGTGGTCAATATTTCATGATGAGCAACTTGTAAATATTTTATATACAGTCAATCAGCAGTGCTGTTCATGCCGGCAATCAGTACCAGAAGGAGCCTGCTCTGGCAGTGTTCAAACATCAGCAATAGAAGCATATTAAAATTTCAGAGGCTTCAGTTCCTACTGTAAATAGAGCAGTCCCGAAGAGTATACGGTACAGTGGTTAATTTGAGAGCAAATATCTCATCTGTTTAATAACCTTTTAACTATGGAATATCAGATCAT